GAGCATAAAATATCTAATCATACCAGAAAGCAAGGAAGCCATCAAACTGAGGTCATGACACAAGGACTCAAGAGCCACCTTGAAGATGGGACAAAGATGGGGCAATTTGAGCATCATTAAGAATGATGTCTAAGGGCCGGCCAAGTGGCTCAGTTGGTTAAGAGCTTGCTCAAGAGTGCGAGTTCTGAGCAACAGGGTCGCCAGTTCAATTCCTGCCCCAGCTGAGCTGCTGTTGAGCTGCCAACAGGTGGCAGGATGGTTCAGCTAAAAAAAAAAAATAAAATGATGTCTAGGGCCGGCCAGGTGGCTCATTGGTTAAGAGTTGGCTTGGCGGGGCAGCCAGTTAGCTCAGTTGGTTAGAGCATAGTGCTTATAACACCAAGGTTGCTGGTTCGATTCCCACATGGGCCACTGAGATGTACCCTCCACAACTAGATTGAAACTGGGCCACTGAGATGCACCCTCAACTAGATTGAAACAATTACTTGACTTGGAGCTGATGGGTCCTGGAAAAACACACTGTTCCCCAATTAAAACAAACAACAACAACAAAAAAGTTGGCTTGGGAGCGCAAGATCTGAGCAGCAGGGCTGCATGGGCCAGTGATGCTGCGCCCTCTACAGCTAAGATGGTGAACAACAGGTCGACCTGGAGGTGGGCTGCCGTGAGTCGCTGGCGATGGTGTAGGTTGCAGTGGAGCTGCAGTGGGCTGCCGTAAGCTGCTGTGAGTGGCCAGCAGCATGCGTGAGCTGGCGTGAGCTGCTGTGAGTGGCCGTCCAATGGCTGGCAACAGATATGCCTCAGCTGGGAAGAGCGCAATGATCACAGTACCAACATAGGCCAGTGAAACGACGTCCTCCACAACTAGACTGAAGAACAAAAGGACAGCAATTTGTCTGTTCCCCTTCCCCGATTCCCTAATGCTGTTCCCTCCCCCCAATTCCCCAATAAAATCTTTAAAAATAAAAAAGAATGTATTTTTTTTTAAAAAAAGAATGTCTTATTTTTTAAAAAAGAAAAAAAAGAAGAAACACATCAAATCTGTTTAAATCCATGAGATTATAATAATACAAAAATAACTTACTGGTCACCCTTAGTGAATACTAGGGACCACCCATCTCTTTATTTTGAAACTTGTAAATAAAAGTAAGAATTAAGTTTTTAATTCTGCCTTTCTAGTAGCAGCTATACCTCAGGGTAACCACCAAATAGTTGAAGAGGAAATATTTCTTTTTATAGAAAGATCAAGCTAATAAAGGATGAAAGAGTGATAGAATTAGTGTAATACCATTTTGCAATCCCTAATGAAACAATGGGTCTAAATGAAATAATCATCAATTGCTGCCTAACATTCTCTAAAGAGAAATAACCAGACCTTATGTGCTACCTGAAGTGCCTAAAACCTCTTGATTCTGAGCAACTTCTAGATCCAATTCTCTATTTACAGGAAATATAGGAGTCAGATGAAATCTTTTAAATAACATCAAAACACTTGGAAATGGTATAGGACAAAACATCCTTTTCTTCAACAAATAAATTTTGACAACAAAGAAGAAATGGAGGGGGAACTTTAAGATTACAAGAGATTATAGAAATATAGATATATAAAATCAATGTGCCAACCAATTGTAAAACCTCATTTGGGTCCTTATTAAAATAAATACTGGGTTGTTGGAAAAGTCATGATGCATTTTTGCAACGAAAAACAGAAAAAATATGTCATGACTTTTCCGACAACAATAAATGGTACCAAAACATTCATGAGATGATGGGGGAACTTCAAACACTGACTAGATAGTTGATGATTTTTAAGGAGTTACTGTTATTTTTTAGGTGTGAAAATGGTATTGTAGTTATAGTTTTAAAAATATAAACATTTTTCAACTTGTTTGGTAATCAAAGAAGCCCAGTATGAATATCAATTCTGAGCATTTTTTAATTATTTTAAAATAAAATTTTGGGTAGTCATTCCAAATTCCAAGTTCAAAAATTATTTTAAAACAGCATTTTGTGTGGCCCTGGTGATTATGGGAAAGTTTCAAGTAGTTTGATTGTTAATGCATGTCAGAAATATTTATTTATTTTTTTCTATAGAAGAGACAGAAAAACATTCCTAGAACCAGTCACAGTTGTTTGCTCAGGCATATCACCCATGCTGCTGCTCTGACCCTAAGTCAGAGAAAAAAGGGACACCAATGAAATAAAATACCAGTGGGATTTTGACAATTATTTAATATATCGTTGATGTGCCATGTTGACACATTAGGAGGAAAAGCTATTCATGTTTGATTTAAACAAATTCTTTATGTGCGTTTTATTTCATATTTTAAAAAATAATGGCAGCCAAAAACTTATGTCCATTTAAAAAAATTAACAATGTGATTTTCTAGTGGATTTTAAACATCACTTGAGGAAACACTAATTTAGGTCAAGGACTCAAAGCTTGATTCAGCCTTCAAAGGTTATTGAAACACTCCAGTTCTAAATTACAACGAAGCTCTCCTAGACTAATAAAAACGTACAGTTGTGGCGGAGAAAGGAGGAACCAGTTTGCCCTGGAGAGGCTTATATTCTGGGGGACAATGCCTTCCTCCTGCCCTCGGTGCAGCAGCAGGCAGGTCCTCCTCCGGGAGGCAACTCCTTCTGAATTCCCCAGAAGCTCCATGCCCAGGGGCTTCTGCCCTCTCCCTCTTCCTTCCTGCCCTATGTTGGTAAACAGCCAGGGAATTAATCAAAGCTTCAAAGGTTGGTGATAACAGGTGGTGACTGATCAATGCCCTGAGGCCCAGGTGAATAGCAGGACAGCGGCCAAGATGGACTTGATGCCCAGGTGAATAGCAGCACAGCGGCCAAGATGGACTTGATGCCAAAGAATGATTTTCACTTCTCAGGAGAGGAGAAAAATGACTTTCTGGTGTCTGGACTTACACACTGGACACCAAAGTGAAATGCTGAACTGTTCTCGACTTCAAGGGCTTTCCATAGGTAGTCATAGCAAAGAAGAAATGATGTAAAGAAATAAAAGACCTTCAGAAATTGAGGGGAAACAGGCTAGGTAGCAGAATCACTAAATGACCGCATGGAGAAGGGCTTTAGGAGGCCTACAATCCAATCACCTTACCTTATGATGGCAAAGGAGGCCCAGAGAGGGGATGTAATTTGTCCCCAGGTCAAAGCAAAATAGGAACAGCATGAGGCTGAGAAATCACTTTTGGCTCCCAGAGAGGCTCTTCACGCTGGTCTGATAAATATGGTATGTGGCATTCAAGAGCCAAAACCGCGGCTTAACCAGGCTAAGGACTGGCTGGAGCCACCCTCTCAGGCCCAGGAAAGAGCTTCAGCGAGGTTGGCTGGCTGGCTTAAAGGCATCTTGAGTATTGCTGACCTCAACCCCAGGGGGCATCCTACGTGGATGAATTGGCACAAAGGTCTTTCTGATCTGCAGTGAGGCTTAGAGGACTTGCCTGAGCTCAGGTATTTGAAAGCAACCAGTAACATCAAGGCATGGATAGAACTTGGGCTGTCCCCTCGAAGCTATTCAGAGCATTCTCCCAAAGGCAAGTCAGGAAGGAGAACTTTGATTTGGCCCCAGCAGAAACTCTCCTGGAAGCTCAGTGGCAGCCTGTCAACTTCGCCCTCTAGACAGCCCATTTGCTCCAGAGATGCTCACTGTTTAACTGGCCCTGTCTGCCAGTGTGGACTGGACTGGACTCTAGCCAGAGTGATCAGAGGACTGTGGAGGGTCATACTGCCTCCCTCACTGCAGGATAGGTGGGACATCCTCTACCCATCTCTTCCTGCCACCCCAGAAGACTTTGCTCTCACAGGAGCTGGACTTCAGAGCACGCTGGAGGTATACATGGGACAAAGACATCACAGACAGTCAGGGCACTCTCTCTCATTCCCTAGGAGCCTGAAGCCTGCAAGGATGACACGCTTAAACAATCATGGGGGCGGGGGTGGGGTGGGGTGTTGGAGCAAGCAAAACAAAGAAGGGCAAATGACAGCTAGATAGAACCCCACCGGCCCCTTTGAGGACAGAACAGAGGGAGCCCAGAAGCATTCCGCCAGCTTCACATTCCTGTGTGGAGTGGGCACAGGACTCACATATTCACCCCACCTGCCCCAGAGCTAGCTGGCCAGGGGTGCCAGGCTGCCCTCCAGAGCTCAGACTCTGGGACCTGGGCAAGAGCAGGAACTTACAGCCTCATCATCCACTGGCTCTGTCTTCCCCCAAATAATCCCACCCCCCAGGGCTCCAAGACCTTAGGGGGCAGAGGCCACAATTCTTGATGTCACCTGAAACGCCACCTCCCGCCTGCCCTGCCTCCTTGCCCCTTCCCCAGCTGCAAGAACTTTCTTTCCTCCCAGGGCGACTTTGGATCAGATCTCGAAGCTGACAGACGGGCCCCAGCCCGCCCGACCAGGACGGGACTGACGCACGGGTGCGGCCGATTCGTGCCGGGACAGCTCCACGCTGCCTCCTGGGCCTCTGCGGGCCGCTACTACAGACCCCGATGGGAGGGGAGACAGGCTGACACCCTTCCCTCCACCCGGGGGCCAGCAGGGAAGCGCCAGCCTTTGTGTGGGGGCAGTCAAGACTGGGGGTAGATATGGCTAGGGAATGAATGAATGCATGAACGAGTGGATATATGAATGAATGAACAACGATGGTGGCGAGGGGTGGGGTGTGGACCACTGGAGGCGTCCCACGGATGGTGCCTTCCGCTGCCCTTTTGCCTTCCGGACGTTCCTCATCCCCAAGGTCCCGACACTGAGCGGAGCGCAGACAGACCGGACAATGTGCCCCGGCGCGAACACTCCGCAGCCCCGGAGGGGCCAGGGCTGGCGCGGCGCAGCTCTGGAGCGAAGCCCGCATTCCTGAGCCGGGGAAGTGCCTGCCCCCGGGGCAGAAGATACCCAGGCGCAGCGGGTCCCGCCCCGCCCCTCGCGGCAGCCTCCGGGGCCCGGAGCCCGGCATGCTGGCCGCAGCCCCTTACCTGCCCGCCTCGGCGGCTTCGCCCAAGCTCAGAGCAGTCATCGTGGAGCCTCCAGCGAGCGCCGGGGACCGACCGCGGGTCGGAGCGCCTGTCCGTCCCGGCCAGCCGAAGGCCCTCCTCCTCCCGCCCATTGGCTGCCTGAGTGGGACGGTCCTTACCATTGGCGGGTCCTGCCCCTCGCCAGACACAGGTGGGGCCCAAACGCCGCGCAGATCACACCGTTCATTACACCAGACTGGAAAGTCTGGACCAAGGCCAAGCCCCGCGTTTGTACCTCCTGCCCCTCACAGCGAGGGCCCTGCCCCTCGCTTCTCCCTCTTCAGCCCTTCTAGTTTCGGGGCTCGGTGCTCTCTACGAACCGATTCCTGACTTTCTTCAAACCCTCCCAACATTCACTTCCACGGTAGCTTTCAGTTTCTCTCTACACCAGATTAGTGAGGACATGAGTAGGTAACACCGTTGGGGATGTTGAACGCGACAAGTCAGACAGCCTGGGAACTAGAATGCTGCCATGAACTTTTACCAGAGTTAAAAACTTCAGTGTTTCTTAGGCAAAATGCTTTTGGAGGAGTCTGGGAAAGACTGAAGGTGGCCAGGAAATGAAGAATGGGGAAGCACCGGGCTGGCTACGTGGCGCGTTGGTTAAGAGTTGGCTTCGGAGGCCAGCTCTGAGCAGCAGGGTCCCGGTTCGGATCCCACTTTAGGGCCAGTGACGCTGCGCCCTCTAACAGCTAAGATGATGAACAACAGCTCAACCTGGAGCTGGGCTTTCATGAGTCACCGGCAACGGCGTAGGCTGCAGTGGGCTGCCATAAGCTGCTATAAGCGGCTGGCAACCTTCGTGAGCTGCCAAGAGTCGCTGTGAGCAGTGGTTCAGTGGCCGGTGGCCGATCTGCCTCACCCGGGAAGAGCGCAGTGATAATATCAACATGGGACAGTGAAGCAACGTCCTCCACAACTAGACTGAAGAGCAGGGCAGCAACTTGTCTGTTCCCCTCCCCCAATTCCCCAATAAAATCTTTAAAAACTAAATAAAATTGAAAAAAAAATGGGGAAGCACAAACAGAAGGGCTTAGATTGATGGGGATGTGACAATGAACTGGACCTTGAGAATGGGACCAAACTTGGGTTCCCTTCATGGCTTGCGGGCCTTTCCTTCCTACCCCAAGTAAGGCTTGGTCCTTGAGTGGTCAGGAGAGGGGGAAGGTGCCAGCCAGATTTGGTTCCATTCCCAACCCTCTCCCACCTCCCTGACCCAGCTGTATCATGGAGGGCATCAGCAAACAGGAGTGCACAAACGGAGTCCAGGTCTGCAGTTTGGGAACTGGGAGCCAGCTTTCATCCTAAATTTTAAGGGCCTCTACTGCATGAAGACCTAATGGCAGGGCAGGGGCCACTTCACTGTTGGCTTACCCACCACAGCAGGAGGGAGGGGCCCTTGTCAATTGCCTTATCTTTGGTTCAAACAAGCCATTAAAATTCCCAGCTGCAGGTCGTTAGTCACAGTTGCCACATGTCCCTAGTGCTGAAGGGGGTAACCTGTTCTCAATATGATAGTCAATGACCTCTTTCCCAGCACCTCTGCACCCTGGAAATGGACAAGATGGCAGGTGGCCTGAGCTGTTTACTCAGGAGCCCCCACCAGGAGCCACAAGACTCTAGCCTACTCCAAGGGCAGGGCTCCCCACCCTCCAACAGAAAAAAAGAGAGGCAACAGGTGCTTCAGCTGCTGTTTATTGACATACAGGTAGGCTCTATAGCAACAGGCCTGGAGGTGGCTGCAGGGGTGGGGAAAATGAAGGTGGAGGGTGGAGTGTTTGTCTGCAGCGACAGCTGAGTGGAGTGCAGGAACACAAGTGCACAGTGCACATCAAGGTGGGAGCAGGGCAGGCTGAAGGGTTTTGAGAAGCAAGTGAAGGCCAGGGCCAGTCGGCTGAAGCTGGAACCACTGCCCCAGGCCCAAAGGCCCCTCTCTTGCTGGCTGTCTCCTGACCCCAGCACAGGATTGGGGGTTCTGAGTATCCATTTCTACAGGAACTGAACGGAGTACACAAAGCAGCAGGAGCTGTTGCCCTGTGTTAAGCTCTGGAGCCAAAGGTCCTGCACCCCTACTTCTCTCTTGCTTGGGTGGGGCCATAAGATAAGATGGACAGCCTGGCTCAGGGATACCCCACTGAGCAGGCTCTTAAAACTCGCCATGTTTCATAGAGGCATTAATGTTCTTCCCTGGTGTCCCACCCCACCAGTGCTGCACTACAGCCCCACGTGAGCACTACAAGCATTGCTGGCCTAATGGATGGGTTGGGAGAAGGGGATGGGGCGGACGGGGCTGGAGGAGGGGCTCTGGGGCCCATCACGGCACGGGTACTACACGCATGGTGTTGGTGAAGCCAGAGCCAGGGCGCCAGCCCGTCAGCACGATGACCACATCTCCCTTCTTGAAGAAGCCTCGGGCCTTGCCTGGAGAGAGAAGGGAGGTGGGTGAGGTAAATGCCAAGTCAGGCAGGTATTCAGGAGGGACATTGCCCCACAGCCAGACATAGCAAGCAGGGCTGGCTGACCATTACTTCATTGCACCACAAGGTGGCGCCAGCATCACAGCCCAGGCAGAACAGATGAGGGAGGCCCTGAGATTCCCTTATCCCTCAGATGGCAGTTGGCATGGACCTTTGGACATCATTGATACTCTGGAGGGTGGAGAGCCTTGCCCAAGGTCAGAGCGAGCTGCTTCCTCTCATCCTGTGGCATCCTACACTTACATAGGGACAAAGGCCACATCAGTACATAATCTGTGTGTGCCACCCCACAGTGCAGGAGCGCTCTCTGGCCATCTTTATAAACAACACCTCAGTAATGAGCAGATGCTGGAGAATGGACAACTGTGGTTATGCAGAATCCTTTGGGCTCTAGACTGGGTGAGTGAGGACAGGAACTGGGTTGCTGAGCCCCACAACTCAATGCCCTCCTCGCCCCTTGGGCTCAGTGCAGGACTCAAGGAAGCGGATGGAGCTGTCAGAGATAGCATTCCCAATGAGGGCAACCAGGGCTCTTGCACCCTAAGGTATGCATGGTCCCCTTTCCACAGGGTCCCAGAGAGCCCAATGCTCGAGCACCCCTGCCCCAGGCTCTAGTTGCTCCCAGCCACGCACCAACATTCATGGCCAAGTTCACCCGGAGGTCCACGTCCTCAGCCCAGGCCTCCTGCACTGGGTCCTTACACACCACAGGGAAGATGCCCCGGTAGAGGTGGGCCTGGCGAGCCGTCTGGTGATTTCGGGTCACAGCAATGATAGGGGCACGGGGGCGGTACCTGGCCACCTGGTGAGCAGACCTG